ATTGTTTTATCATCAAGCGACTCCCTTGCCTGCTCGTAAACTTTAGCATTCAGGTTACCGCGTCCACCGACAGCTTCAACTAATCCTTTTAGTGCATGAAAAAGAAACATGATAAGTCTCAGAATGCCAATTTATAATTACTTCTTATCAGAACTAAATTGTTCTTTCATCATCGAGGACATCGCAAAGACAAAAAACATGCTTATATCTGCGTCTGCAAAGAGTGAGTGAATCCCACAATCGAAACTAAGTCACATTGTATCACCACCAGATAACTTTTTGTGCAAATTCACTCAAATCTCTCAAGAAACGAATCAACACAGATGATAGATACATCATCAAGTAAAGCTAAGCCACAGAAAAGAAAAAACACACACACAAACCAGTACCTTCCTTCTCCAGTCTGGCCTTTTCTTCAGCTATTTTCTTAAAGCAATACTCGACACACTCGTGATAAGGATTCGAAGCGTTTATACAGTCCGGGTGCACCCTTCTCTCACTATCCATATTTCCAGGCAAGCGAAACTGTTCAAAAAACCATTACACTAGAATTATCAAATACAGCATTCAGATTTAAGAATAATAACCTAATGACAGCAAAATTCACACATTAAGTTGAAGCAGACAAGAAATTTAACATGATTCAATTGAAAAACAAAATATAAATTGATTCAAATTCGCATCAAGATAAAAAGCTAACATATTCAAACCCTAAAACAAGAGTGGACCGATTGTAGAATCATGAATCACTATAAATTTACAGACTTTACGTAATAGAAACCCATTTACGAAGTAAGATCTTAACGAAACCCTAAGAGCARTGGAAACAAGTAAAATCACATCCTCTTTGGTATCTACACAAAGCAAACGATTGAAATCGATAAAACCCTAGAGTACAAAAATTCACTCAAACTGAAATCGGATCAAGAAACCAAACCTGCGAAGAAAACGATTCGGAGGAATCTACAAGTAACTTGGCTTTTATGAGAAGAACACCAGAAAAAAAAAATCGGTGACGATAAATTTCTTCTTTCTCCACTCGATGGAGAAAAGAAAATAAGAAAATGAAAAATAAGACCGATAATTATTGAAGAGATGGGCTTTATTATATAGATGGACCTCTTAAATATGATTTGGCCCAAAAAGTTTTTTTTTTTCTTGTCAACTTGGCCCAAAAAATATTAGTTGTAAGATTTTCAGTGATTGTGAAGAATTAATCTTA